TTAATTTACTTATGTGCAATGCCACTTACATGGTAACTTAGAATGATTATTCTTAATATACCTGGTGTTGCATCGTCGGACGGGACATAGGAAATCCCATATAAATTTTAATGGGGTCAATTATTGGCTTCACTAACTATTTTAGAGAATAATTCTATTTAGGTTTATTGAAGAGCACTAAAACCCACATTTCAAAAGAATAACTTTAGATATTTTTGATTAGCTCGTTTACGAGTTATCGCCGATTTCTTTTTAAATATTTCTTCTTTCTTATGGCCCTGTATTTACTTATGATCACCAGTCAAGGTAAAAGATAACTGTCAAATGAAGTTGTCATTTCAGAAATTTACCTATTTAGTGCTTTATTATTATTGAAATCGCATTCCTACATCGGAAATCTTAAAGATGTATTTATAAATAAAAAATTTCTTTTTAAATATTTCTTCTTTCTTATGGCCCTGTATTTACATATGAGCACCAGTCAAGGTAAAAGATAACTGTCAAATGAAGTTGTCATTTCAGAAATTTACCTATTTAGTGCTTTATTATTGTTGAAAACCCATTCCTACATCGGAAAGCTTAAAGATGTATTTATAAATACAAATTAATATGAATTAAAGTAAAATAAAGTAATCAATTACAAGGTTAATTATAGTATTATTACAATATTCAATAACTTATTAATTTAGGTACTAGTAAATTGTTAGAATTTTAGGATTTACGAAGATGTTCAAATATTCCTCCATCGACTGCTAGATAATAACCCAGGCGATCATAAAATTCTCTTCTTACATTCGCTAGTTGGTAAACTGAAATTCTATTGCATTCGGCAGAAATAGCATTTTTTAACTCGTCTAGATTTGGGTATGTTTTATCCTTGTATATTCTGTTTTTTAAATGGCCCCAGAGAAAGAAATCATTTGGCGAAATATCAGGAGACCCTGCTGGCCAATTTACTGTATGATTTAGGCCAATAACGTTTCCGTTAAAACAATTGTCTAAATATTCCCGAACAGCCACGGTACTATGTGCCGGGCAGCCATCCATTCCTGATTTTCCCTAGCGGCATCATGTAAAACAGGTAAAATATGGTTTTCGAGTAGTTCCAAATAATATTCTGCATTTAAATTTCGCGTAAGAAATAATGGCCCGATAATATTGTGGTTTGGTGCCCAAACATTTACGTTCTGTGGATATTGCGTCCTTGTTTCGACAAACCTGTGTTGGTTTTCTTTGGTCCAATATCGATAATTTTGAACATTGGGTTCATTATTTAAGGTAAACGTGCATTCGTCAGTGAAACATGTTTTTTAAAAATTCCCTATCCGTGTTTGCTCTTTCCATCATATCAAAACAAAACGCCTGCCGCCGTATTTCGTCCCTATCTCATAGCTCTTGGTGCTTTTCATATTTGAAGGAATAGTATTTATGTCGTTTCAAAATTCGAAACGCTGTAATGTGATCTATTCCTATTTCATCCTCAAGTTTCCTTGTGCTGATCTTTCCATCGTTCTCTTCCACGCACAATAAAACTTCCAAGTCGGTATCATTTCTTGCATCTTCTCTTTGTTCCTGCCTTGCTTCACATTTGCAGTTATTTATTAGGGTACCTTTGGTCTCAAATCTCTGGATATTCCTTGCGATTGTAGATTTTCCAGGTATCGGTCTATTCGGATACAGAGCAGCAAACATGTCCGACACCTTTTGATAACTATTTCCTTGATAATACCATTTAATCATCAATACTTTTTCTTCGGTAGTGTAATTCATGGCTAATATTTTCGATGTAGGTATGAGTTTTTAATAATAGTAATAAAGCACTAAATAGATAAATTTCTGAAATGACAACTTCATTTGACAGTTATCTTTTAACTTGACTGGTGCTCATAAGTAAATACAGGGCCATAAGAAAGGAGAAATATTTAAAAAGAAATCAGGCGATAACTAGTAAACGGGCTAATCAAAAATATCTAAAGTTATTCTTTTGAATGTGGGTTTTAGTGCTCTTCAATAAACCTAAATAGAATTATTCTCTAAAATAATTAGGGAAGCCAATAATTGACCCCATTAAAATTTACATGGGATTTCCTATGTCGCTCGACGATGCAACACCCGGTATGTATATCTAAATTTATTTATTACACTCAAATAAGTTTTAACTTGATAATGAGTATGAATAAAATGTTCAAAATCATTTTTAATTAATAGTATTGAAAATATAAATCTTTAGTTCCATATTCAAGCTAATCCATTTTATTTTAGGTGACTATCATATATTTAACTTTAATGCCCAGACTTTTTTCAAGAAATATTTATATTTCATCCTTTTATTCGGGACATTAGTCCACATTTTTTATATAAACTAAATTACATTAAAAGTAGATTAGGGTTTGAGAGTACTTTTTTAATTATTTCTTCGCGAAGTTGTATTGTAAAATTGTATGGTATGCGATTAAACAAAATCAACTAGTAGCAGAAGTAAAAAATGTGTAACTATTTTGTTTTTTATTTATCCCTAATAATCAGCTCCCTCCATTTAATAGTTATAAGAACATTCTAATTGATATTACATCATTTCTAGTTACGTAAAAATATCTAATGTTAATTGTCTATAGAATAAGTGAGGAAAACTGACAACAATAACATTTGTTATTTTAACTATTTAGTTTAGAATTACAGTGACACAGGTAGGTGATAACTTTTTATTAGCCTAAAGGTGTTTTATACATCCTGAAACATTGTGTATCTAGTTTATAGATCTAGTAACTTATTTGTAAATTTTCCGTTTAGGTATTGATATTAGTGATGGGAAAAACCGATTAATTTCAATAATCGAGTACTCCAGTATCAAGCGATTGCAATAACCGAGTGATCACTCGAGCGATATATCACTCGTATTTAAAAATACGGTTTTCACCCGTCGCATGTTGTAAGTACTCGTTAATGCCAAGCGCCAAGCAGTAAGTTGTGTGCGCAGGGCACATATTCTTTCGGTAATGAACGGCAAGTAGTAAGCAGCGAGCGATTCAATTGATAGATTGATTTAGTTTATTTCGAAGCATTGTCGATGTAGGTCGTAAAATTTAGTCCCTCAGATACGCAACGAATAAATATACCGGGTGCGTCTCAAAAGTGGCTCACCCCTTTAACTTTTTATTTTTTCAGATGAAACAAGGATATTTGGTATGTTTAGTATATGACATAAATTAGGATTGACTGACATATTCAATTGTTTTCGGCCACTTCCGGTTTCACCGGAAATGACTACAACTTATGATTTTTTAACGGCACCTTCGGTATTTTTTTACTTTATTCGGTAGAAAATGACACTCTGAATAGAATGACATATCACATGTCAACTTTTGAGATTTTCGCAGATGGTTTATTTGAAATTGTAACATGCGGTTCATAACGACAATTTGACTCGAAGTACCAAGTGTGTGGTACGAAATTATTCGTAAAAAAAATCTTTTTCGAAATATGCTAATGAGCCACCCTCGTTCCATTTGAAAAACATTGAGATATGATCAAAAATACGATTTGGGCATCTTTTAACCGGCAAGGACAAGACACTAAAAACATTAGACGATCAAATCTATTTTTCGGCTCCTTGATTAAAAATAAGTGTTTTTAACACAGACATTTAACCACTCTAGATTGTGACTTAAAATACAATTTGTGTTTAAGCGAATATGTCAAAAGTTGACATATAATACGTCATTCTATTTAGAATGTCATTTTCTATCGAATAAAGTAAAAAAATATCGAGGGTGCCTTTTAAAAATCAAAAATTGTAGTCATTTCCGGTGAAACAGGAAGTGATTGAAACAAGTAATTTATGTCATATACCTACTAACATACCAAATCTCATTTTTTTATCTAAAAAAATAAAAAAGTTATAGGGGTGAGCCACTTTTGAGACGCACCCGGTATATACGGCGTCGTATACATTTGCTACCTGCAATGTATGTAGAAAATTCGCTCGGCTTTTTATCGAGTAAGTCACATTAAAATCGGTTTTCAATTTATTTCATTCTAGGATCGATTTCGTTCGTCGCTTGGTACTCGTTACTTGTATCACTCGTTCATAATCGAGCGATGTCAGTTATTTCAATAATCGAGTACTTGAAAGAATTTTCGCTCGAGTTATCCCATCACTAATTTATATGATAATCGTAAAGATATACTATCAGAAATGATCCTAATTTAAAATAGTCTCTGTATAGGTGCGTTAACGTAATCTAAATAAAATGAATAAAACAATCAAATTACATAGCGAACAATGGATATAGTTAGTCCAGTATGAGAAAAAGAAAATGCCATACGGCGGTTTCGGGGAAGAAGAGAAGAGGAGGAGCTGGTAATATTTCGACTCCCACACTGTTTGGGTTTCGTCTCTATGATCGTCTCTCCCGAGATGGTGATGGCAACGAGCACCACTCGCCTATAAAAGGTTTTTTATCACCCCCTCACCAAAAAAAGTATGAGGATATATTCATCACACGGCACCTAGAAACGATAGAAAAAAAACATGCACATTTGCATTACAATGACAAAAAACTGCAATCCGCCTAGAGTTTGCCTGTTTCAAGTTCAATAGGCTCGATTAAAAAAGCGTCAGAGTCAGATTTGATGCATTTCTTCTATGCGGTATTGCCGGATTTTGCATCAACATTTCAAACCGCAGAAGTAGGCGTTTACGTAAAATTTTTCATCTAGGGTTGGAACTATATTTTACACAACTAGTTACTCATTTTATTACAGCTGTAATGGATTCTTAAACCACTAACAAAAACGATCACTATTGAATAGCTTAGATATATCTTCGTTAATTATTTTATTTCTCGTACGAACCGGCAACACTTATGCCGCTTTTTATTTTACCTCTCTGTCTGTCAACTGGTCGTATATATTTATCTCTGTCGTATACATTAGAGTACAGACCACGGAAATAAAGCGACCAGGGCTATAGTATAGTTCGTTATGTATATTATGCTTACCGAAGTTTCCCTCAATATTTGGCTGGCATTGTCTACGCCACTATCTTCGTCGTCTTGTTCAGGTTTTTTATCTTTCATGGCAGGATTTTCCGTGGCATCAAAATATTCAGACTGTTCTTCTAAACCAGGACTGAAACCATTGGCTATCGAACGTTTCTCTCTGAAGTAAACACGACAATTATTAGTATTATTTGAAGACGTAAATAAGTAATTTCTTAATATTTTTGACTTGTAAAAAAAGTTTAACTATACACACATGGTCAAAATTATTGCATTACATGTTTCGCGCGCATTTTCAATTCATTTAAGGTACGGGGGGATCATTCCTTTTGACAATATGGCGTTTTAGCATGTCCCAAGCATGCTCAATCACATTAATATCTTGAGACATCGGTAGCCACCACATTTTTCTTATACCCTCTTCCTTACAAAATTCGCGAACCGCTAAAGTGCGAAGGGGAGGAGCACTATCGTGCATGTAAACAAATTCATCCCCCACTGCCCCTCGAAATGGACGCACAATAGGCTCTAAAACGTCTCTAAGATACGAGGCACCTCTTATTGTGCCATCAATAAAAACAAGAGGAGTTCGACCTCCGTGCATTATACCTGCCCATTCTATAATACTTCCCCCTTGAAACGGGACACGGGTTTGAGCTGCATTCAAACGTGCTCGTTTTCCAGATGCTCTCCAGACCAAAGTTCGTCGCGAATCTGACACTAGGCCTATTATTGTTTCATCACTAAACATGACGAAATTCCAATTAGGGCCATTTGCTCTCATCTCCTCAGCCCATTGTAGTCGCGTAATTTTGTGCTGTAAATTAAGCTTCGGAATAAGTAGAGGCCTCCTTAAATGTAATCCTCTGTCATAGAGTCTTCTTGCTATGGTCTTTCTTGAAACAATTACTCCTTCAAGGCGAGCTAACTCATTTTTAGTAGCAGTACTAGAAAGCAGGGAATTGCGTCGTGCAATTGGGGATATTTGACGGTCTTGCACAGCAGTAGTAAGACCAGTCTGTAACCTCGTTTGTCTACTTTTTTGTTAATATTCGCGAAACATCGCTTTGGGTAACTCCTACAATTTCAGCTATTGCAACTTGCCGGTAGCCCTGTTGAGACAGTCTTACTATTCTGACTCTATTAAACTGTGAAATAATGTTTCTAGGCATTTTAAGGCCAAAACAATTGTCAAATTTCTTCTGAAACCCAAGAGACCACAAGTCGAAATGAGCAATAATTTGTAATAATATTGGATCTGAACGATAAACATTGTTTACCATATCCATTTTAACAAAAAAATGTTTATTACAGATTATCAAAGCTATGTATAAAAAAAGATTCTTTAAATTCCTTTCCGTATATTTTTATACGATATATGCTATAATTTTGGCCATGTGTGTATTTTTACATAACATTTTCAGACACCAACCTACCTTAATTCTGGAATGCTTGAAGCTGCCACATATGTAACATTGGGATGTGAACTTAAATCTACTCCTTGCGAACACCTCGTTACAATATCGTCGCCTAATCTTCGGCTTAGGTCTCTTTCAACCAACATGTGTTTGTCAATGACCCCAATTTTATCTCTTAGTAGTCCACCAACATCCTAAAAACAAATTACATTTTGAGCAATACAAACACTAATTGTTAACTGCTGATAATATTATGAAATAGGGTATAATTAGTGATGTAAAGTGTAATATTACCGTGGTAATTTTACCGGTAATTTTGGTAATATTACCGCATGATCGGTAACACTGAAAATATTGCTTGTTTTCCGCTTAGTGGAGTGCCCTGAGACTTTTACCTAGGAATTCAATTACTGTGAATGTATTAATGTGAAACCTTCTGTATTCTTTTATAGATAAAATACTAAAATGTTTACCCATTTTTTTACGTTGCTTTTAATTTTTTATTTTAGTAATTTTAGTAAATTCTTAATTATTGCCTTCTTAATTTTTTGATTTTTTTAGTTCTTTTTCTAAGTAAATTTATTGAAATAAATAAATCTAATGCATAAGATATACCTATTCGGTTTATATTCTAATCATTGAAATTTTGATTGAAATCGAGTTATACAGGGTGGCGTGTCATATACGACGCGGTTTTTGCAAGGAGAACAAAACTTTGTATTGAAGTGAAATTTTGTGTTTTGAGTTTATGTAAGTCAATTTGAAGCCTTTTCTAAAATTATGTAGAGTTCTACAGGGTGTCCCCAAAAAAAGTAATACATCGAAGTTATGTTTTTTGTAATGAAACACCCTATATATTAATTTATTTTTGGATTCTAGTAAAAAAATAAAGGTTTGTTTCATTAGAAAAGTATATGACTAAAATGTATAGTTTTTGAAATACATTCACCGGCACGAAAAATGAGCACCTTAAAACGTTGATGTATTTTAAAGGTTAATATATTTCGTTTTAAAGGGCGGATATTTATGATTTTTTAAGCAGTGTGCAGCCAAATTATTTGACTTTTTAGTATCTTTTTCTAAATTAAAAATGAAACTCCCCATCTGTTAATTATATACAATGGAAAACAAAATGTTGATATTTTGGTGAAAGTTTGAAACACCCTGTGGAATATGTTAAAGCAGCAAGAAATTTAAAAATAATTTTATCATCTAGATACATCCTTGTTCGATGGTTTGTTTTTTGGTTCATCTCATTAGCTTTACTTTTGTTAGAAATATTCGTTTTTGAAGAAGACACTAACATTTTTTCGTAATTTTTACATTAAGACCATGCCTTTGCTTTTGGGCCTAGTCAACACATCTAGTAAGTTCTGGTCCCAAAGCATGCCTTCTTGACATAAGATTTGCTTCATTTAATCTTCTTCTTATAGTCCGTTAGTTAATATGTACGTTCCTTAAGTGCAATTCATTACCAATTTGAAAAGCTGGCAAACGGCGCGGCGGTTTCTTAACGATTAACTTACAATAAGTCGTCTCGATTAGAAGTTCTCATATGAAGGTTCCTGGACGTCTAGATTGACGTCCTAATGGACGTGGTCATAATTCAAAAACCACTTAGTATACTCTATGGTAGTAAGGTATTTTTGGAACCAAAACTTTATAGCAAAATAAAATACAAAAATAGATATATATATATATATATATATATATATATATATATATATATATATATATATATATATATTTGATTCACTCTGTATATCTACCCTGTGCATTACCATTAAACACATATTTTGTAAAAGGTTTGGAGTGAAAATATCAAATAGGAATCCTGATACACAGCTTTTCCGGAATACGGAGCCATCTTGTATGTATGCATTTGTATATATGTGTTTATTTAAATACTAAAGTGAAAACAACGAATTTAAATGGGTAAACTTTGTAATATATCTTATTAACAATACAATGCAAAAAGTTTTATAAAAATTCGTTCACAGTAAATGAATTCCGAGGTTTGTATCCAATAGGGGCTTAAAGCACTCCACTATAAAGAGAAAATATGTTTCTTTTATCGAGATCTACCAGACTTGAAAATATTTGCACTTATTTAAGACTCACCCTGTATAATAGAAAGACAGAAATACTGATTCAATATAAAGTCATTAATGAATAATTATCTTTAATAACCTTTATTCAAGTTTATAATTTTATGTTAAATATTAATATTATGAATTTATTTTTACTAAATTTAGAAAAAATTACAATAAAATATGAGCTTTATAAAGAAATCACTTTTCTCAGTGTGTTGAAAATTGTATGCATTTATTCAGTATTCAAGTGAGTTTAATTGTCAAATGCCACATACTTCAAGGTCCAAAAATTTGGGACATATGCTTCAAAGAAGCCGACGTTTACTGTCGCTTCTGTGTAGCTAATCGCGGGCAAAATAATTTTTGTGTTTTATAAAACATTATCTTTCGAAAAGAGGCAAAATGTTTTATTTACAATTAAATATGCACAGCACCAGAAACAGAACGCTACTAAAAATGTGATCCACAAGGCTGTCTTAAACCTCGCGACCGATCGCTGTCCGTTATCCCATTTAATTTCATTGGGGCATCACATGATAACAGTTTTGTGTTTTAGCAAAACGGTTTTGATGAAACTGCTCTTTCTGGTGCGTCCAGCTTAAGGCATTTTGTGATAATGTACCATACATTGGCAACTTTAATTTTAATTAATGAAATCATTTATGTAATACATACCGATTTCGGTCGGTTGGTAGCTGACGTTCCCGAACTACTATCCGATCGCGAATCTGCGGCCAAATTATTAAGTAACGATGACAAAGGTCTGTTGGTATGAACTGATTTCAAAGACTGACTTCGCATTAAAGCTTCTACAGGTTCGAAGTTGAGGGTTGATCCTAAAAATTACACATCCTGTTAAAAAACAAATACATGAGAATTTTAAAAATGTTAACTTCTTACCATTTGATGATTTTTTTAGCGAATTTTTCTTCTCTTCACTTTTACCTCGGCTTCTGTCTCTTTGGTTATCCGTTTCCGTGCTACTACTCTCTGTTTCTACTTTTTTACTTTCCGTAGCGGTTTGCTTATCGCTTGTAGTTGTAACGAGTTTCGAAGAGCTTTTTCTGTATTGATTATAAATAAGTTTGTGTGCAGGACAGCGAAAAGAAAATAACAATTACATTTTATATAGGGTGTTTCCAAAGGGCTTGATTTGTAAATCGATCCAGAATTTATTGTAGAAACCTGTATAAACCTTTTGGAGCCATCCTGTATAATATATTCCTTAAACAACAAGTATTAATATAATTTAAACATACATTAATATGACATAGAAGCACCAAAGCATGGCGTAGTCTAGCTATTGTAGCTACTCTACTGAACCATGCGGACACCCAAGCAAATTAAATGAAAAAATTCATGCGGGAAGTGAAGATTAAAAATTAAATAAAATATATAGAGAATCCAAGAACATTCAAAAGGAATAAATTCCAGTTTAATCAAGTGTTCTGTGACACCTGACAGGTACTGAGTATTTTGTTATTTTAAAAGATAATGTTTATATTTTAACTCAAAAGCTGTGGCATGCATATTCTGCATTTCTGATGGTATATGATTATATTCATGATGAGGTACAGTAAGCATTATTTTATATTTGTACTCTGGTATTACGAAATATAAGGCCGTTCTAGAGGTATTTAAAATTCCAGTTATAAAACTGCATTAATGAATTTTTCAGCGATTATTCGCCGAAACCATAATGAATCGCATTTATTAAAATTTGAGAGTACAAAAAATTCACAAACAGATATTCTTAATTTCATATTGAAAACGCGTCTATGCCGTATAACAATGTTCAGTTTCTTATCTATTACAAGTCCTTGGAAAATTTCTTGTCACTATTTAAAACTATCTCCAATATGTATTTATATGTAAAATATTTTTAGGTAAGCGATTTTAGTTATGTTTCCAAATAATAGCACATTAGGTAGTTTGGATGGAATTAAAATTAGATTATGATTTGTGGACAATTCACTAAATGTTTAAATTCCCGATTAATATTAGTGAGGTGAAAATGATATCACTGTATACTGTTTCTTGTAATTGTTCTTACCTATGGGCGTCATTTTTATTGATCTCGACAACGTCGCATTGGATTTCTCTTTCTCTCTCGTTTTCCTTCCTAGAAACAGCAACTTCTGGCGGTGGAGATCTCATCTTTGATCGAGACAATTCAGTAACCTAGGGCAAATTAATACAGTAAAAAATTATTCAGTAGGCCAAATGTCACAACTTTTTTAAATATATTAAAAAGGTTGCCTGATAACTATCTAGGGTCTAATTGTGTAAATCAAAAAGCTAATAATGAAATAAATGAATAATAAAAGCTAAATCAAAAAAAATAATGAAAATGGAAGGCGACATAACATTTTTCTTTCAGACAAAACGTCTATTATGTTCTAACAACCGTTCTAACCAATAGTTGTTGATAACTCAATAGCTGAATAAGGAATAAAATTTGCGCGACAAAATTTGATCGTATTTTCAAACTTCAAGAGAGCAGTTCGATATTTATTGGACTGAACAGTAAAACTCACTGCCAGAATTTCCTTAAAATTTTTAAAATACTGACTCTTCCTTCTTTTTATTTTTGAATCCGTGTGTTTAATCCGCAAGCACATATCTGCTATTCCCGAAAGACCACCTCACAACTATCCACTTAGGATAGTCAGTATCATTCGGAGCACGATCTTTATCTGCCAACCCCGAGCTCGGAACTAGTTAAAGGCTCAATACTATACAATGCCAAAAAAATGTTCAATCATCTGCCTTTGGATATCAAGTCGCTTTCATTCTTTCCCGCATTTCGCAAAGCTCTGAAATCATACTTACTGGAGAGAGCCCTATATGCGGTAAACGACCTTTTTGTTGATGTTTAATCATGAACAATTTTGAATTTTAAAATTTTGATCATCTTACAAACTGGTTAAAAGTCTAGTACCTATTTAATATTTTATAATAACTATTAAGTTATATAACCATTTACAATTTTAAAATTATAAAATTTTTATTGATACGTTTTTTTTGTGTTCTGCAATGTATGTATATATGTTCTATTTGTGATTTTAATGACGTACATTTTTTTGAATTGTATGATTAAAAAAAAGTCGCCTTAACTAGGATTCGAACCTGCCTTACTATGGCTCCAACGTCATAGCAGCGTAAAGTTCTAACGCTTTAACTACGCGGCCACCGAGGACTTGAAAGATTCTATGTAAAATTCTTACTTAAAAGATAATGTTTAGTGAAAATACTTTTTTATTTATAAACATTTATTTAATTCTGTTTTTAGTATTTGTTCTTATAGCGGCAACATAGATCTGTAAAAATTCATAAGATAGAGCTTTGTGACAGACGGACGGACGGACAGCGAAGTCTTAACAATAGGGTTCCCGTTTTTACCCTTTGGGTACGGAATTAGTACCACTAACTAGTAGTTATTAGACAACCTTTCTTTTTGAAGTTGAACGACTTGAAAGTAGACTGAAAATACCTTTTCTTTTTCTTTGATCTCTATGGCATCGACGAACATAACTATTTCTTTTCGGGGACTCCCAACTTCCGCGGTCACTTTGCCCTCCTTGCTACTTTGCTTCAGTATGCTTTTGGTTCTTTCTAAAGGCTTTCTGTCGGGCCTGTCGTGAGATCCAGACCTCTCCATAGCCGGATGTGGTACGCTGTCACTTTGTGCGGGCGTCGCTTTAGCGATGGGTGGAAGGGAATGGGGTCGTGCTGTAGTGGTATGGCTCTGGTTAGTGGTAGCGGTGTAGATAGGTGTGGCACCGTCCGAAGGCGGTTTTGGCACTACACGGATTTCAAGTTTCCCTGCCACCTAGTTCAAAATAATAGTGTCAAATATACAGATTGTCCCAATTATATAAAAGTATATAACACTTATATAAAACATAATACCGGGTGCGTCTCAAAAGTGGCTCACCCCCTATAACTTTTTTATTTTTTCAGATAAATAAACGAGATTTAGTATGTTAGTATATGACATAAAATAGGATTTATTGACGTATTCAATTGTTTCCGGTCACTTCCTGTTTCCTTCCTTTTGATTTTTAAATGGCACTTTAAGATTTTTTTTACTTTATTCGATAGAAAATGACACTCTGAATAGAATGACATATCATATGTCAAATTTTGACATTTTCGAATATGGTTTATTTGAAATTGTAACAAGTGGTTCATAACGACAATTTGGATCGAAATACCAAGTGTGTGGTATCAAATTATTCGTAAAAAAATGCTTTTTCCAGATATGCTAATGAGCCAGCCTCGTTCCATTTGAAAAAATTGAAATATGATTTATACCCAAATAGTATCTTTTAACCGGCCAGGACAAAACATTAGACAATCAAATCTATTTTTCCAAGGCTCCTTGATTACAAATTAGTATTTTTAACATACCCATGGCGCTCTAGACTGAAATTTAAAATACCATTTTTTATTAAGCCAGAATGTCAAAAGTTGAGGTATGATATGGCATTCTATTCAGAATGTGATTTTCTATCAAATAAAGTAAAAAAAATACCGAGGGTGCCATTTAAAAATCAAAAGTTAGTAATTTCCGGTGAAACAGGAAGTGACCGAAAACAAATGAATACGTCAGTCTCAATCCTAATTTATTATATAATTTACTATAACAATAGCTCCCGTATAATAGCGTTTGACGCCTTGGGAGTAGCAAGATACAGCTTGCCATACTAGAGTCGTTCGGTATATAAAAAAGGTAATGTGGCTAGCACTACGCTTCAACCGCCTATTATTACCTCAGGATTGTGAATCCCAAGTACTCATTTAAGGTTGAGTCGACCTAGGTACCCAAACTATCATATAATCTCGTTTATACTAGAACACAGCATTCACCAATAAAAACTTTGGGTGTGGTCAATTTTTATCTGAAAAAATAAAAAAGTTATAGGGGGTGAGCCACTTTTGAGACGCACCCGGTATAGGACGTGTTTTGATTGTAGGGTTTATATATTTTTTGTATAAAATGCAGTGACGATTCGCAGTTCAATACCTTGGAGGTGCATAAACTTAAAAAATCAAAATATCAAATTAAAAAAAATATTTAAATTATTTTTTTTTCTCGTGAAGAGCTTAATGAATTAAATGTGGGGGCTTACGAGAGCATGTGCATATATATTTAGAAACCGCCACTGATTAAATGTTAGTACCAGGAAAGAAATGTATCTAACCTCTTGCAATCCTTCATCTCCGTTTTCCTCTTCTCTAAAGCCTTGCAATTCGGGCAGTTCTAATGCAGGTAAACTGACCCAGCCTTTGTAGAAGTTGCTTCCTTCATCTCCTGCCAATTTATCGCGCTTTAGAGACTTCTGTAGACGAATATCCACATTTTCGACTGCTACGTGCTGCTTGGAAGCCACATTGCGCATGACATCAACACGAAACACTAGATCGTCGAAAGCGGCTTGTTGGAGAAGAGGAGGTTTTAAAGCACGACGAACTAGAGGACCTAACGCTGGACAAGACCAAGCTCGCGGAAGGACACCTAAAACGAATCAGAAATTCAGATAACCGAATGGTGATAACAGTTGATACTACTGAATAATGATATCTTGTAGATATTATTATTCGGTTAAGTTATATTCATGCATTATTGACAGTAGTCATTGGCGTCATTTCTTGTGAATGATACTTTTTTGCAGCTTTTTCTTTGCGGCTTTCTTAAGCTCTCCTGAGTTTATTTTCTGCTATTTCTTGTTTTTTTTTTCTAATTAGTTTTATTAAAAATGTATAAATCTGAAAATACATTGGGCCAGGACTTAAATAATAGTGGCGTTATATACATTTTTGGATTTAGGCTACCTATGCAGCATGTAAACGTTTCCATACAAAAAAATATATTTGTTGAATATTTTATTATAATTGGTTTTATGAAAAGTGCATAAATCTAGAGAGACATTGGGTTAGGACTTCAACTATGGTAAAATTATTCTGAATCTTAGAAAGAAACTTTAAATATAGTTTGTGCAGCGTGCGATAGTTCCCAGACAAAAAAAAAAGAAAATTGGCGCCGGGAGGCACGTATAGCCGCCCATACTAAAATATGTTAATAAAAAGTTGGTAGGCAGTTCATTTAGTTTCAAAGTAAAGGAATTTTTCCATTATTTTATCTAAAAAATTGCGACTGAATGATTTTGATGTTATTACAAATTTTGTTGCAATTTTAACCCTCTCCCATACCCCCTTACCAACCCACCCCCACCAAAAACTAATAGCCAGATTCTCGGGTGCCACAATATTTTTGTGCCAAATTTGGTTAAAATCGGTTCAGCGGTTTTTGAGTTATCGTGTTACAGACGGACAGACAGACAGACAGACAGACACAATGAAAATATTTTGTATTTAGGTCATTTATGACCCAAATAACTCATTTTGAGGGAAATTAAAAAAAATCTTGTTAATTTTATAATTATTGGTTTTATGGAATGTGCATAAATATAGAGAGGCATTGGGTTAGAACTTGAATTGTGGTAAAATTATTCTGAATCTTAAAAAGAAACTTTAAATATAGTTTGTGCAGCGTGCGATAGTTCCCAGACAAAAAAAAACATTAAAACATAATTGAAACATTTTTCACTAGTAAGTGATCATAGTCTATCCAAAGGAAGGATCCCTGATGGTGACAGTTGTGTCTGTCATTTTAATTCAAAGGCAAATTGTATTTTTAATAATCAGGTGTGCTTTGTATGATGGCAATAAATAATTCTTATGAAAAATTAAATTAGATTTTTTTAACTGTGTAATCGAATCATGCTAGAGCATAATTTTTTTATTGCACGATATAAATAAATAAGGGGTAAGAAACTTCCATAAGGAAAATACTATTTATAAATTTATCACTGAAATGTAGATTAAAGATATTTGATTACGACTTTTTGGGAAAATATTTTATTTGGATCTTAGGGCCGGTTCTACAAAGCAAAATTCTTCGAATATCTATTAAAATTTTCGTTCAAAAAGTATAAAATGTTCGGAGAATAATTATTCCGAATTTATACTTGCTTTGTAGAATCGGCCCTTAGGGAGTAAAATACTGTAAAATTTATTAAATACAGGTATCTTAATATCCCTGTCTCAATGTAATATTATTCTTCAATGTCATAAACTTAGTTGTTAAAGTTTTAACATTTATATTTAGTAAAAAATATATATTTTTCAAAAGAGTATAAAATACAGTAGGATAAAAAAAAATAGGTTAAAGTGACGTTAGATTGTCAATGGCTGAAATTTCTAAATATCTGATTGACTTGGGTATAGGGTTGAGTTCATGTTAATTACAAACTTATTAGTTGTTTTTATTCATTACATTGAAAACGAAATTATATTACCATATGTACGCGTTTTTGATTTTGGGGACTTGAAAAACTCAACTACAGTATATCCCCGAATTGTCTTTACAAGAGGAAGTTTTTTATTATTGGCATTTTGAAAAAATTGCATTCTTTATATAAAGTTTTGCTTGTTCTAAAATGGTTAACCCTGTTTATACTTTTTCAGAAAGAAATACGAGAATATGACGTTATTTAAAATTTTATCAATAACAAGCTATCAAAGAAGGAAAACGGAATTATATTACCATAGAAATGCGTTTTGATTTTTAGGACTTAAAAATTCAACTATATATTACATGTTTTCTTAATTTTCTCTAAAACGGTATGGAAATTTGGAAAAGTATAAACGGGATTAACCATTTTAGAACAAGCAAAAACTTTAACGAAGAATTCATTTTTCTCAAAATGTCAACATTAAAAAAAGGTTTTTCTCTTTTAAAGACAATCCGGGGACATACTGTATATTTTCATATTTTTGAATTCTTCTCTAAACCAGTATGGCAAATTTGGAAAAGTATAAAGGGGGATTAAACCGTGGTAGAAAAAGGGGGATTAAACCGTGGTAGTAAATCCGGGTAGATACTGTATGTTAGTGTTAGGTGACAGGTACCTGTCTATTTACTGATATGATTAAAAAGTCTTTATAAACTTAAAATTATTATAATATATTAGTAAAATCTAATTTAGCGAGGTATATCAAATTACAGTCCTTTGGAGACACTAACAACTAGTGCCAACAAGCAAGCTACTTGATACCGGATGGTATGAATGAACAAAGAATTGTAAACTGCGTAATATTTAAACTGATAATCAATTTAACACACCTTTTAAAATTTCAACACAATAACTTTAAGTGGCTTTAAGCGGTTCAGAAACTGGACTAAAAAACGGAGCGATTGAATCAAAGATAAAAATAATCCGCTCAAATCTACGAAATAAATTATTGCATTATTTTCGAATTTTTAAAAGTTCCGAGGGAAGTATAAATAAACATCTATCTTAAAAATAAATTAAATATAAACTAGATAATAGCGTTGTAAGTTTACGCTGTTTCTTTCATTTTTTTAAATTCGAATAGCGTAAATTTTAGATCGTTTATTTTTGCACGATTTTCCACTAAAACAAACATTTAAAAATGGAAATACAATGTGATCTAAAAATTATGTTGAAATTTTTGAACAGTCAGTTAAGTCAAAAAACTTTTGAGTTATGCCCAAGCGTGCTTTGTTCGATAACAAATGGAAAATTATGAAAAATTGTATTGAAATTTTTGAACTGTCAGTTAAGTCAAAAAACTTTTGAGCGTAAAAGGGCCTGTAATGACAATCCACTGATACACATTTCTCAGGCATTGTTTACATAGTCCCAATTTGACTGCCAGTGCAAAATCAAAGAAACATATACCGGGTGCGTCTCAAAAGTGGCTCACCCCCTATAACTTTTTTATTTTTTCAGATAAAAAAATGAGATTTGGTATGTTAGTATATGACATAAATTGGGATTGATTGACGTATTCAATTGTTTTTGGCCACTTCCCGTTTCATCGGAAATTACTACAACTTTTGATTTTTAAATGGCATCCTCAGTATTTTTTTACTTTATTCAATAGAAAATGACACTCTGAATCGAATGACATATCATATATCAACTTTTGACATATGCGTTCAAAAACTAATTGAATTTTAAATTTAAATCTAGAGTGCAATGACGGTGTTAAAACACTAATTTTTAATCAAGGGGCCTTGGAAAAATAGATTTGATCGTCTAATGTTTGGTGTCTTTGTGTTGTCTTTTTAATTGGTTGGTTAATGTTGTTGTCTTTTTAAAGATGCCCAAATCGCATTTTTAATCATATCTCAATTTTTTGAAATGGAACGAGGGTGGCTCATTAGCATATTTGAAAAAAAGTATTTTTTTACGAATAATTTGATACCACACGCTTCGTATTTCGAGTTAAATTGTCGTTATGAACCGCATGTTACAATTTCAAATAAACCATATCCGAAAATGTCAAAAGTTTGACATATGATATGCCATTCTACTCAGTGTCATTTTCTATCGAATAAAGTAAAACATACCGAGGGTGCCATTTAAATATCAAAAGTTGTAGTAATTTCCGGTGAAACCGGAAGTGGCAGGAAACAATTGAATATGTCAATCAATCCTAATTTATGTCATATACTAACATACCAAATCTCGTTGTTTAATCTGAAAAAATAAAAAAGTTATAGGGGGTGAGCCACTTTTGAGACGCATCCGGTATTTATTAAAGACAACATTCTGAAATCTCGTTTTACAGTGTGTCCCATTTTAGTTTAAATCATACGGGATCTCCGTTATTAGTAAAGCTAGGAAGATACGGTTTTCACAAGCCCATCCAACTTTTTTTGTCAAGCTGATGATAACCTCCCAAAAAACATTTTCAGAGCCTTCTTCGTTTCTGCGCTACAGGGTCTTTTCGAAAATTTTGCAATTTGGCACACCCCCCGTATCTCCGTTATTGATATCGAGAAGTTGAAAACTGATTCGTGTAGAACTTTTTACGTATAATACAGAGGCGTAGTCTGTTTTTTTCTACAAAAAGAAGATTTTAGAATAATGAAAATAAAAAGATAATTTTTGGGAACCCCACTGCATTAATTCAACGAAAACCAATTTGTCAGTAGTATTTTACTTACAGTAGTATATAAAACAAATATGCCTAATGGACAAAAAATGCTTAACATTTCAGGTTTCATCTCCTCCGATCCTCAGAAAAAAAAATACAAAGAAAAAAAAACTATTTAAAATATCTAAATACACCTATTCAAGAACACTTTAGTTTTTTTTAGTAGATACCCCTTGAAACGTTTAGCATTTTTGTCCGTTTCTTTTAGTGGGAAAAGGAAAAACCCAGAAGTCTTTTCAATAAATTAACCCACCAGAAATGTATGGACATTATTTAAAAATAGCTGTTTCCTGTAGAAGATAACTTGAAGATAGCTCATATAATATCAAAGTTTCTTAAATGTTAAAATAAAAAAAAATAAACAAAATCGTTATTATATCTATCTAAAGCTGTTTAAGACGTACTGATTCATCATGATCATTACGATTAGTAAAAATATTATAAACAGAAATTTATGGTTTACTACATAAAAATGAACGCACTACT